ATTTTTAGCTCTATATCTTGTTTATTTAGATCAATATAAATTTTCAAAAAGTGTCCATAATAATATGGTACCCCACTGTATTTTATCTTATTTTATATTTTTTTTTGAGTTGTCTTTCTCTCCAACCCAGTAGTTTTAAAGTAGCGTATTGTACACGGCATGTTTTACCAAAAAAAGTAAGTCTCGCTTAAACTTAGGCTAAAGGAGATTTGGGGTTAGTGTAGATGATAGCTTGTGCTAAAATTTTACGAGAAATTTTATTTTTTTTTGTTAGAACCGAAGGATAGTTTCATAATCAATATAAACAATTTATCATAGTCTTTAAAAATTCGTGAATTGAATTTGATTAAATTTACTTTGTTCAATAGAGCCCTGTTATTATTGCTGTATTGTCTTTGCTTTACAATACTTGATACTAATAATATCACTATGAATTTTTATAAATATGATCTTATCATTATTTGATATTCATTAATTAATTATGCCTCCTTTATCTGCAAGTCAAAATACAAAACATCTTTGCAAAAACAGCGATCCCACCAAAGCACTTTGTGATTACTATGAAAAACAAATAAAAGTTTTTTCCCGAACCATAAATAAACTGCGCTCACAAAAAATAATCATTCAAAAAGAAAGTCAACATAATTTTAAAATTATTTTAGCGGAAAGCGATCATGAACTTAAAATTAGAATATTAGATGATGAAAGTGAATATAACTTGCAGATTCGAGATTTAAATAATGAACTTGGTGTGTTAAAAGACAACTATGCTGATTTAGAGAAACTGTATAAAGACTTACAAAAAAGAAAAGATCAAGATATGGAAACTTTACAACTATACCTAGCGAATTTAGAAAAAAAATTGAGGAGAAAAAGGTTAAGTAAAATCAATATTTCAAGCTAAATTTAATTTTGGTTCAAAAAAGCTAATAGTCTTTTTACTATGCTATAGGAATTAAAATTAGTTTATTTTATAATTTTATTCTTTTATTTTGTTGAATTTTATTTTTATTTTATTTTACGTATATAATAAAGAAAATTGACACCTGTTTTCAAGTATGCGTAGATAGTTTTGTATATAGTAAACTACATTTGGCTTAGTTATATTTAAAAAGTAATTTATTTTATGCTTCGGCGATTTTCCTATTGTTTAAACAACAAAAACTGAATTGAAACAGCATAATCTGGACACTACTCTGAACACACTAATTGATTCTTACTAAAAAAAATGATAAAAATGCGACTTGTAAAAAATGAACAAATTCATTCCGCTTCTAAAAACAAAGGTGACAGAAAGAAAAAGATCAAAATTGAAATTTTCGCTATTAATGCTATTGCGATATTTGATGCAGGAAGTTTAAAGACATTAGGAGGAAAATTCAAAATGACTATTTATTCAACCGAAATTCTCCTAAATAAACAAATAATTTAAGAATCTGGTGTCTTTGTCAACATTAATTCTAATAATGAAATACTGTACAATTTTTTTATTCCAGAAGGTACTCTCCAATTCTTGTTTATAAAAATATAATTAAATTAAATCTAAGACCACTTAAAAATTTAGCGGTGGCTTAGCATTTGATGTCTTTAGAATGTTCGCACTATATTAGTTGTAAAATGAATAAAATAAAGACATAATTATTCAAACAAATAAAAAATCTCCTTAGTGTAAGGGTTTGTTTTATTAAGATGAGTATAATTCTCATAAGCTTTTTGATATATTATTTGAATTGGATCTTACAGCCTTACTTAATTGTAAGCTCCAAATCTGATAACCTTTAACATATGGAGGTGAGTCAATAGAAACGCACCATTTTTTTCTAAGTAAATTTTTTTAAAACTTTAAACAAAAATAACTCAACCACTACTTAATCAAATTTAATAAAAATTTTTTTAAACTAATTCTAAAAACTTGTAGAATTTATTTAAAAAAATTTTGCTAAATTTGGTTAAGTTTTTGCTGAGTTATTTTTGATTGAAGATTCAAAAAAAAATTTTATTAAAAAAGATATAGTGTGTTTCTATTGACTCACCCCCATATCGCTTATTTCCAGTGTTAAATTTGATGTGACCAGTTTGACCAAAAACTCTTTAACCAATGACCAGCAAATTTATAGTTGACCACTAATTTGACCAACACTGCTTATTTCTTATTGACCGAAGAATATTAACGTAATTCCATATCTGAATACTTTTTTTACATTGTAGTATTTAAATCTCATAAGTACCAAAATATTCTTTATATGTCTCTAATTGAAAATTTAATATATATTTGATGTTTCTAACATGACAAAGATCAATTATTTCTCTTTCACTGTCTTTTTGTTTTTCTACATTGTAATTCTCTGGCTTGTAGATAATCTTAACTACTATAAGGAAGATTATTATAAGCAAAATCTTCTATTTGTAGTTGACAAAGACTATGAAAATTTTCTATTTTGCCTTAAGTATAATTCTATAGTATTATATATTAATTCAAGTCTTTGAAGATTTTGTAAATTATTTTCATCTTCAAAAAGATATCCAAAAGTGGGATGGGATTTGGCCAGAGCTTGGGATTATGACAGTTGACATGGGATTTTTTCAGTTTGGTATTTGGGATTTGTCCACATGGGATTTGGGTTTAAGTGGAATTTTTAAGATTTATCCCTTAGATTGTAGTAGAATACAGGCAAATTTGCCTGCGTTTTTACACTTTTTTAGCTCTGATTTACTTTT